TTCTTCTTTCAGCACGTTACCCGCCCCCCCACTGTCGGAGAAAGGCTGGAGGTCGCCGGAGCTCGGAGTTGCCTCGGGTTTGCCGACGTTCTTGAACGGGCACGTGCAGGATTTTGGCGGTCCAGTTCTCGGGGGATGTTTTCGCAGCGGGAGCTCGCGTCAGCTCTCAGACCGGGTCTCGTCATGCCCCCCAGGGCCCGGTCACACCAACCCGAGTCCCTTGAACCCGAGCCTAGCGTCCCCTAGTCCGCGCACATTTCTCACCACCCACCAAACCACCCCAACCCAACCCGAAGGCCTCAGTTTGCCCTCCACTTCCAGTGGGGTGGGGTGGGGTCGGGGAACCTTGAAGAAGCACACCTGGAACCCGTACCCCCGCCCCCCCAACCCGAAAGGCGGGTCTTCGGGTTAAGTTAAGGTGGTCTGGTAGGTGGTAGTTTTTTAGTCTGCGGCCACAAAAGTCAGGAGGGAAAGAAACACACAGACACAATTAAATGTGGACTCCCAAGAAAATATGGGAACATATGGGAAGTGGTGGGGAAGACGAAAACCCAGGAAATATTGGAAAATATGGGGAATCCTGTTACTCGTGTCCATTGAGTTGTGTGTCCCAGGGCCCCTCCAAGGAGGGTCAGGCGGCCGCCGAAGCACGGCGAGGCACGAGGAGCGGAGGGCGCGCCGAGCGGCGCGAGGCGGCCGGAGAGGCCGGGAGGGCGAGGCGGAGCCGCGCATTCGGGCCATGCAGGTCCGCGCGCGCGCCGAGGTGCCGGTGCTCGAGGTGTGGGGGGCGGTCCACGGAGGGGAGGCATGTTGCCAAGTAGTTGCCAGATGTCTCAAACATGCGTTAAGCATGTTTTAGACATGTAGACCAAGCCTGCTTGAGACATGCGTAGAACATGTGTTCGGACATGGTAGACACATGTTAGATTCAATGATAGGACTGTTAGGGTGTCCATTGTCGTGGCATCCACAGTGCTTGAGGTGCAGGGCGCAGGTCCGCGCCCATGCCCAGGGCCGCGATACAGGAGGAATATTCAAAAGATAGTCCAGGGACGATCTGTTGGGTCTTCTTGAGCATTAACAGAAAAATCGCCCAACATCCGCCTGTAGGGGGACATGTCCGACCCAATGCCAGTTCCTGAGGTGCAGTGCGTAGGTCAGGGGATTGCAAACATGGATCGAGGGGGCGTGGATTAGCGAAGGATCCCGTCTCCATGGGAAGGACATCGCGGCTGTCCGCCGCCGAGCGAGGCGGCACTGGCCGCATTTTGGGGAGGGCACCTCCCCCGTTCCATGGACTTGGCGACCGCGCTTGGAGGGAGGAGAAGCGATACCAACACCACCAGGGGGCCCACCTCCAGCGAGGAGGTCCACGATGCCTCCCCCAGCTGGATGCTGGGGATTGCCTCGAGCGAGAGAGGGGGGACCACACCACCAGGGAGACTCCCCTTGCCTCCTCGCACCTCCTCGCCCTGATGGTGTTGGTGTCGCCTTTCTTTGTTCCCACGCGCGCCGAATCCACGGATCGCCAATCCGTGTCCTGCGCGCCCCCGGGCAGGTCCGCGCGCATGCCCAGGGCCACGGGCTGCGAGGAGGAGGAGGAGGAGGAGGAGGAGGAGGAGGAGGAGGAGGAGGAGGAGGAGGGAGGAGGAGGAAGGGGAGGAGGAGGAGGAGTGGGGGGGAGGAGGAGGGGGAGGAGGAGGAGGAGATCGCCAATCCGTGTCTGCGCGCCCCCGGGCAGGTCCGCGCGCATGCCCAGGGCCACGGGCTGCGAGCCCCGCCTCTCGGTCGCCCCCGACCTGGCCCGAGCGGCGCGGCCCCGCCCCCGCGGGGGCGGGGCCGCCGCCGCGGGCGCGCGCCGAAGGGGTCGGGGGCAACGCGAGGGGAGGGATAACAGTCGGGGCGCTGAAGAAGGATTTATTATATCTGGGGAGGTACATCCTTGAGCTTGCTCAGGATTCCTCAAGCACTGTTCTGGCTTGGCACACCGCCAGATGTGGTGCACCCTTCGGGGTAACAATTGAGATGCATGCACATTACTCGTTGTGTCTACTGCATCGGGCGCCTGACTGCACCGCGCGGCAGGGCGGCGCGAAGCGATGTCGCGCTGCGACCCTGGGCTGTGCCAAAGCTGACAGCACCCGAAGGAACCCTTTGCAGTTTGCCTTTGGTGTTCGGGAGGTCTTCCACGGGTAATCGAAGTTTACCTTTATGGGACAAAGGGGGCCTCGTTTCTTTTGTTGGGTTCCTTAGGTCGAAGCCCTTACTGTCGTCGGGCGTTGCTTTCGGTAGCAAATCATGGGAGGCTCCTATCTCCTCGCAATTCCATCTCTGAGGGGGTGCGCAGGGGGTGGTCTCTCAGCCCGACCTCTATGCGGGCCAGGGTCGGAGAGCGTGGCAGGCGTGGCACTTTCTCGACAGCAGAGGGGGCGCGCAGGGGGTGGTCTTTCAGCGCGGCCTCTGTGCGGGCCAGGGTCGGAGAGCGTGGCAGGCGTGGCTCTTCTTCGACACCAGAGGGGGTGCGCAGGGTGTGGTCTCAACGCGGCCTCTATGTGTGCCAGGGTCGGAGAGCGTGGCAGGCGTGGCACTTTCGGCCGGGGGGGGTGCGCCTGGGGTGGTCTCTCAGCGCGGGTCTATGCGTGCCAGGGTCGGAGAGCGTGGCAGGCGTGGCACTTTCTCGACACCAAGAGGGGGTGCGCACGGTTGTGGTCTCACGCGGCCTCTATGTGTGCCAGGGTCGGCAGAGCGTGGCAGGCGTTGGCACTTTCTCGAAACCGGAGGGGGTGCGCAGGGGGGTGGTCCCCTCAGCGCGGCCTCTATGCGTGCCAGGGTCGGGAAGAGCGCGCAGGCGTGGCACTTTCTCGACACCAGAGGGGGTGCGCAGGGGGTGGTCTCTCAGCGCGGCCTCTATGCGTGCCAGGGTCGGAGAGCGCGGCAGGCGTGCCATGTCCTCGACACCAGAGGGGGTGCGCAGGGGGTGGTCTCTCAGCGCGGCTTCTATGCGGGCCAGGGTCGGAGAGCGTGGCAGGCGCGGCACTTTCTCGACACCAGAGGGGGTGCGCAGGGGGGTGGTCTCTCAGCGCGGCCTCTATGCGTGCCAGGGTCGGAGAGCGCGGCAGGCGTGCCATGTCCTCGACGCCAGAGGGGGCGCGCAGGGGGTGGTCTCTCAGCGCGGCTCTATGCGTGCCAGGGTCGGAGAGCGTGGCAGGCGTGGCACTTTCTCTACACCAGAGAGGGTGCGTAGGGGGGGGTCTCTCAGCGCAACCTCTTTGCGTGCCAGGGTCGGAGAGCGTGGCAGGCGTTGCACTTTCGCGACACCAGAGGGGGTGCGCACGTGGGTGGTCTCTCAGCGCGGCCTCTATGCGTGCCAGGGCCGGAGAGCGCGGCAGGCGTGGCACTTTCTCGACAGCAGAGGGGGTGCGCAAGGGGGTGGTCTCTCAGCGCGGCCTCTATGCGTGCCAGGGTCGGAGAGCGTGGCAGGCGTGGCACTTTCTCGACACCAGATGGGGTGCGCAGGGGGTGGTCTCTCAGCGCGGCCTCTGTGCGTGCCAGGGTCGGAGAGCGTGGAGGGCGCGGCACGTTCTCGACACCAGAGGGGGCGCGCAGGGGGTGGTCTCTCAGCGCGGCCCCATGCGTGCCAGGGTCTGAGAGCGTGGATGGCGCGGTCCTTTCTCGACACCAGAGGCGGCGTGCAGGGGGTGGTCCTCAATGCGTGGCAGGGGCAACTCGGTGGGCGCGCAGGGGGTGTTACTTCCGCGCGGCCCCACACGCGTGCCATGGCGGGAAATTGCGGCATGCGTGGCAGCCGGAACCGTAGACACCCTGGCCCGACTCTGCTCGAATATTGCAGGCGGTGCCTTGCCCCCCGCGCCGCTCATGCCGCCCGCGTGTCCCATTGGCGCGCTGCCGCCTCCGTGTTTGAATCTGAAGAAGTACATGACAGACGCAGGTGTCGAGGTTAGCAGTGTCATTTTGCGCAGTTGCGAGGCAGCTTTGGTCAAACACGCATTTAATTCTTACCGCCGGTATCTGAAGCATTGGTGGCCTGATGCGCTCCTTAACAGGTACGATGGGCTGCTCCATCAAGGAGGGGGCGACGATGCCAGGAGGGGGTGCTTGGTGAGGTACCTGCTGAACCCTTCCTCTGGCGGGTTCCCCGCTAATCAGCCGGGGGGGTCGGAAGAGGGCGAGGGGTCGCCGTTGATGA